AGTATAAAACTCAAAAAATAATAAAAAATAAAAAATAAATCTAAAGTCTAATATAAAAAATAAAAATAAAAAAACCCGTGCAACGCACGGGCAAAACAAAAACTAGTTATTATAAAAAAACTCCTACAATCAAATCACATGGTTGTGATAATAGTTAATTTTTTATCAACTATAAAAACAAATAAAAATTGATAAACTTCAATAGGATGCTAAGAATAACTAAGTCTTAATATTTAATTTTCTTTTCACATTAACAAAGAATTAAGAAGTACATATTCCTTAAAAAAAAAGAATAAATATTGTTATTTACCCCTTAATTTAGTAAAAATTTATCAACATTGAAACTTAATTATTCCTAACTTTAAAAAAAAAAATTCAAATTTATCTTATTTTAAAATTTAATTGAAGAATAATTACTACTACCAACCAAACATAACATATGCTGAGGGGTGGTAATACTTATTCCTTAATCACCCACTAACTTAGTAGAAAATAATTACGTGCAGGAATAGATATTCCTAACCTCTTAAATAAGTTTTAAAATTTTGACTCTTTAATTTGATCAAAATGTTGTAGATATGTTTACATGTGGAATAGATATTTTGCCCTCTTTATCCATTTAAAAGCATAAACAAATTGCCTATATTGCATCATCAAAATATTTACAATTATAAAATATACTCCCTCCATTCAACTTTTAAGACTTAGATTTAGTTGTCCAATTTTCATATTTTAAAAATATTATAGTTATAATACCATGTAGCATTATAAACTTACATTATGACATGTCATTATATAATTAATTCTTTTTATTTAATGGTTCATCTATGATATTATATACATTTACTCATTTAATATCATGTTATATTAATTTAATGCCATGTAGAATTCTAAGCTACAATTCTACGTGACATTATAAATATAACATTGCACTTTATATTTTGGGCATCATTCATGTGTCTATTCATACTTTATCTTTTTTTAAGAAAATAATTACCACATATATTAAATAAAAAGACGTATATAAGTAGTGATAAATTAATGATAAATATAAAATTTTATTAATTAATTATCACATCCCTATTTTATTATTATAAAAAAAAACCCTAAACTCACTAAAATTAAATGGAGAGATTAATTAATTAAGATGAACCAAGATGAGGAATCCAATGTTTTTCGAATTGCATATTTGACAAACAAGATAAGGCATAGGAAGAAAATAGAATACCTCTGGGGAAATTTGGAAAGTTTGAAGGCAGTCGCTTTCCGAAGAAATGATGCCTATGTTGCAGAGCAATTAAAGATAAAAAAAAAAAAAACACGATCAGCCTAAAATAAAAAATAAATAAATATTATAGTTTCTAGCATATTGTATAACTAATCAAGTAAAAGTTTATTCAATTAAGTCAGTCTTGTTTACAAAGATTTTTAAAATTTTGAGGTTTTTTTTTTTTAGAGGATAAGTAAATTGAGTTTTTTTTTTTTTTCGCCTTCAAGAAAACTGAGTTGATTAGGCAGAAATTGAGGTGGTTTAATGAAATTACAACTCAAACCACTAAATTAAAAAATGCTGTAAAAAATTACT